TCCTGAGTAGGTGTGCTTTGCACTTTCTCTCTCCAGTGGGCATGGCTTTGAGGTCATCTGCTTGTGCTGGTTACTGGCTGTGAGCTAGGAAACCAGAAACCTTCAAGAAGTGTTTCAAAAATTCAAGAGCTGCGGATCTAGCTTAGTAAGCAAGGGCTTGCTGTGCAAGCCTCGGGACCTGAGTTCAGAATCCCAATAGAAAAGCCATGTATGGCAGTGTGTGGTGTAACCCCAGTGCTAGAGGTTAGAGATGGGTCCATTCCAAGGGCTCAGGAGATACCCATGTGAACCCAAAGGTTGAACTCAAGGTAAAGGGAGATGTTCTGCCTAAAAACAAACAAACAAACAAACAAACAGATAAAATAAAGTGGAGAAGGGATTGAAGGAGATATCGAAATGTTGACCTCTGACCTTCACATGTGCCTGAGTGGGTGAGTGCACCCACAAGTGTACCATGCATGTGTGCACACACACATATCACAAATAAACTTGTGCTGTTGGAAGTGTGGATCTTGTGAAGTCTGTCAAAAGTGAGTGTGGGGAGGAGGGAAAGGGAATAGAGATAGTATGGGGGGTCATACAAACACACCCCTGACATAATTGAAGCATGGCTAGGCCTGGGGTCTCAGCTATGATTTCTTGAACTTTCACAGACCACTGTATGACCATTACTGAAGCACAGATCCTGCTCCTTACCCAGCTGTCACTCTGTGACCAAAGTGGACAACCACAGGAGCAGATGATGGGGAAGGAGGTAACAGCAAGCCCACTATAGTCTTTACACCCAAGTTACTGGCTCATGTCTCCCTACAGTCACTTCTGGTACAGGAGCTCCATCTTTATGAGAACAAGCCTCTGATGGGCTTGGCTGTGTGGGGTTCCCAGAACTACTTTTTGTTTGCTTTTCTCAGAAGCATGCATTCTTATGTGAGTTAACAGAGCTCAGTCGTAAGCTGTAATAGCTCTGGATCTTCTAGGTGTCCCACTGGGTAGACACGGCCCTGGCTCTCTCAGTCCTTTCCATTTTATTTTCACGCTGGGTGTCACACATAGACAAGGTTTTAAGGCGACATGGGTGTGGAGGGTAACCAAGACATTCTCATGGCTGAGTATCTGCTGTAACAACTCAAAGGAGTTGGGATATATATTTATTCCATGGTGTGCTGGATGCACATCCCAACCAGGGGAAAGAGGGCTATAGGCAGCATTTGGGGCAGGTTGAGAGGTTTGGCCCATCATCATCATGGTTGGAAGCATGGAGATACACAAGCAGACATGGCGATGGAGAAGTAGCCAAGAGCTACATACTAATCTGTAGGCAGCAGGGACTTTTGAAACCTCAAAGCCCAATCAGTGACATACTTCCTCCAGCAAGGCCTTCTAATCCTATCGAGGAGTTCTACTGCCTGGTGACTACGCATTCAAATACATGAGTCTATGCAGGCCATTGTCATTTAAACCACCACACTTATGTTCCCAAGTCCATAACCCAACAATGCTGCAGCAATTAGTGAGCACCACTGGAAAGCCTATAATTGCTGTTCTGGGTTAGTCTCTCTCTGGAGCACTAGCTCAGATGAGCCATCTACTTAGTTAGGGTTTCTATTGCTGTAAAGAGACACCGTGATCACGTCAACTCTTATAAAGGAAAACATTTAATGGGCTGGCTTACAGTTCAGAGATTTAGTCCATTGCCTTCATGGCAGGACATGGTGGAGTGCAGGCAGACATGGTGCTGGAGCTGAGAATCATGAGTCTTCATCAACAGGCAACAGGAAGTGAACTTTGACACTGGGTGTGGCTTCGGTATATGAGAACCCAAAGCCTGCCTCCACAGGGACACACTTCCCCCTTGGGGGCCATTTTCTTTCAAACCACCACATAGTCTAACGAACCAAATTCTTTACCTCTCCCAGTGCAGCTTGGTTTCTTGAGAGCCTGATTTCCCAGCACATCAGGGATACAGAAACTTCACACATTTTCTGTAGTGTAACAAATCCTACAAACTATGAGATCAAGTGCAATAGGATTATGCAATTTTATTTGCTTCCACAAGTGGTCCAGATCACTTCAAAAGCACTTAACTATGCCTCCTGACTCACCCCCATTGATCTCCTTGGAGCAAGGCAGCAGCAGCTCTGAGAGCTGAGATCCTAAAGCAATGTTGTTACTATCTGCTGGAATAGTAACTGCTGGTAACTTCTGACAGCAAAGGTAAGTGCTACTTCCTGGGCTCTCCTGAGCTGGTTGTGTTTCTCTACTCTGCTTTGTAGTCAGGAGCAGTGGCTCTCAGCCTAAAGCTTCCTTCTAAAGCTCGGAGAAAACCTCAGCACAAAATTAATCCCAGGCTCCACCTGCAAGTTGACACAAACTAAGCCAATGCTACATTCTTGACTGAGGAAGAGGGTCAAGGAATCACACCCAAGGCCTCTTGAGACTGTTAAAGTTGCAGGGCTGAAGACCAACTATTTGGTTTCTGATAGCATTTGTTAGGTACATATTTGAGTGGGAAGCATAAAGCATTAAGTATGTGTCACATGATTCTCCCAGTAACTTACTAAATGAGACTCGAGTCAAAATAAAAATTCTGAGCAAGACATTTCCAGGAACCAAAGCCATGAGCAAAACCAACAGAAATTTTCAGCTGTTTTGATATGAGTTATACTTGCTTATGAAGAACATTTCCAGAAGAGGGAGGAAAGTAAGAGAGGGAGAAATATCACTTAGTTGTTCGCTACAATAAATTAAAATAATTACTCTTTAATCATTTTCCTTCCAATTTATACTCCCATCCTCAATTACTTCTATTCAAAGTGTTACATGGACTGGGGAGTTGGCTCAGTGAGTGAAGTGCTAACCACTCAAGCCTCATGACCTGAGTTTGGATTCCCAGAATCCCTGTAAAAGCTGGACATAGCAGACAAATAAATGGGAAACAGGAGACAGAAGGTTGGAGCCAGTTAGTTTGGCCTGCACAGCAATGAGCACATCTCAGACTTAGTTAAAATGGTGAGAGCAAGCACTGAAAGCTGTCCTCTGGCTTGCACACACGCACCAGCATTCACACCTGCAAAATAGTGTGCACAGACACTCACACAGACTCACCCCCCTCACACACCACCTCTGCACAGACACACACACCACTCCTACCAGATGTCCTAGAGGGAGGCTGAATCTTTGCTCATATAGATCGTTCTCCCTGAATCGATGCTGCTAGCAGTGGGTGTGGCTGGAGAAGCAAAGGGAATGGGGTGTCCACACTTCTAGAGCCATTTCTACATGGACTGGACCCACTCATAGTCTCAGCCACAGGGCTCTCTGCCTCCCATACTGCAGCTCTGAGCATGACTATTTTCTGGAAGTCCTCCATAATCTGGCAGAGTGGGGGAGTCTTTACCTGTCCCCTCTGACTCATCCTCTGAGGTGCAACAGGTGCATAGCCAGCACCAAGGGATGTCCCCATCACCCTTGGGCAAGCGGGCCATGTAACCAAGGAGCCACCTCTCTCCTGGTGGCAGTGGGTGTGGAGGGGAAGAACCAGCTTATGGTGTCAAGCTCCAGCTCTGCTGATCTCCTCCAGTTTTTCTGAGAGGTTTTCTGAAGGATAACAAGATAGGATTTGGTTCTTAGATAACATGCTGATGTGAACTGCCTGGAAATTAACTCTAGAGCTGCTGGCTAAAAGATAACAGCAGCTAGATGCTGATGACTAAGACGTGTGTAGAAAGAAGACTATAGTCACCCAGGGTCCTGGGTGTCACCAGTAGTGGGTAGGGACTACTCTTGCTCTAGCTGCCCGTTTGTGGGAATGTACATGAATTTCTTGTATAAAAACATTAAATAGGGTCACCATGAAGTGCTAGGTCTTTAATGTTCAGATACCAGTGGGATGTGAACTTGGGGCACAACCATGAATGGATTTCTAGGGATGTCTTTTGCATCATCAGTATCCAGTGATATGTGAGAGAATAAGAAAGTGGGAGGAGAGGAGGCCACAGAGGCAGAGGATGAGGCATGGCTGCTAGGTAGAGCTTGTGGTAGAAACAATCCACCACCTGGGCCAGCATCACACTTCTGGGACCATGGGACTACCTGGAAGGCTCCCATGATAAGTCTCGGGAGGAAAGAGAGAACAGTAGGACCTGCCTGAGCTGAGGTCTTCATGGGAATGATTTGCTCAAGGACACAGAGCTGACTACAGCAGCACGTTAATGGTGGCAGGTGCCTTGAGCCAAACTATGCCCTGACCTCCAACCACAGTGTTCAGGACTGTGCAAGATAGAAAAGGCTAGATTTCTGTGTATGGAACAATGAGTCATCACAACATCCTGGCTCAAACATATCGTGTTTGGAGCAGCTCCTCCTGGAAGCACCCCTAACTTCTAGGTTTACACATTGATTTTTCTATTTCTGGAGCAGGATCACATGTAATCCCAGACTGGCCTTTAACTGTGTACAGTTGAGAGTGACCTTGAAATTGCTGCTTCTCATCCACCTCCCCAGAGCTGTGATGGCAGGTTTACGTGGTACTCTAGGATATAAATCCAGGGCCTCCTGCATACTAGACAGGCACTCCTCAGACTGAGCCACACCCCCAGCTTTTCACATTGACTTTGTAGATTTGGATTTGGAGTGGCAGATTCACTTCTCAGTCACAGAGGCACTGACAGTCTCTTAGGGTTCAGGGTCATTTCTATGTTGGGAAGAAGGCAAACAGAAATGAGACTTCTGGAGAATGAGACTCAACTTGGCTGAGGGAGTCAGAACTCAGAATTATTCCCTGAAGATGTTGGGTTGGGGGGTCAGTTCTGTGTGAACAAGGGAGGCCAGCTGAGCGGCAGCCAGCCAGCCCTGCTGTATGCCCAGTGGAAGAGTCATTTGAACTATAGACGTTTCTGCCCAACCAGAAGAATTATCTACTGAACTGGTTATTGGCATTCATTTCCAACTCTCTCTCTCTCTCTGCTGGTTCTAACAATAATACACACACTAGACAAATCTTTGAAATAGAAACCATGTTTATAACTCCAAAAATTGTGAAATGTACATATTTGGGCATCATTATCACATTAGAAACTGCCAAGCTGATAAGAAATAAAGAAGTATTTAAAAGGTTGAAACTTGGTTCGCCAGAGTCTGTAGTGTGAACTCATGTACTTACATCAACCATGCAGGTGCTCCCAAAAAATGGGAGGCCAACCAAGTCAGTAAGGAGGAATGACCCTGCTTTCACAGGAAGCCTCCTCTGGACATTTTGAAGTCTGAGGCACTAGCCTGGGAAGATACGAACTCTTCTGCGACTGGGCTGGGGCAGAGGTAGGGTGAGGTAGTGGCCCTCCTCAGATCCACACTCTGTGTAGTGTGAACTCCAGCATAGAACACCTTGCTGAGAAGTCCCAGGAGAAATGGGCATGGCTGATCTAAGGAACTGCATTCATCACTGGTCCCTGAACAGACACCTCGGGTGCCTGGAGGCTTTCCTGAAGTTGCAGAGTGCTCCTGAAGATGCAGAAGATGTTTTAGCAATTTGTGGCATGTGAAGTTGCACAGGAAGCAGCTAAGCTTTGCAAGCTTTGCATCACTTGTCACTTGCCCCTTTTTCGTCTTTGTGTTGGCATCTAGAGAGGAGAGGAAAAGGGTCACCTGAGAACCCAAACATCATTTACAGGAACAGAAAAGCTTGGCTAGGAGCTTGGATACTGAGAGGTAACAGTGGTGTTTCCTTGGAGATCCCCCCAACTTGGCCATCTCATCTTGAGATAAAACCAGTTGACTATGAAGATATTCTCCCTCCGATGTCTACTGCAAAAGAATGTTTAAAATGCAATATTCTTATCACTAGTGGAATCGATACCACCACTGTGGGAAAAGAAATGGAAACACAAGAAATGCAGGTAAACATGACTCCAAGATGAGCAATTCCTAAGTGACTTCAGTTTTGCTTTTCTTTTTTTTCTTTTTTTTTATTAATTTTTTTTTATTTTCCATTTTAAATTTAGATAAGAAACAAGGTTGCTTCACAAGTCAGTTCCAGGTCCCTCTCCCTTTCCCTCCCCTCCTCCCGTGCCCTCCCCCCATCCCCCCCCCCCGTTATCCCCTCATTCCCCCAGGGAGGGTGAGGCCCTCCATGGGGGTGTCCATAGTCTGTCATTTCATATAGGGCAGGGCCTAGACCCTTCCCCAAGAGTTCAGGGTGAGAGTGCACCTCACATTGTTCTATGGGAGTCCAGAGACCGTGTGTATACTTGGGATGGGTACTGATCTGCTGTCCAAGGCTCAATAGATTACCTAGGCCTCCTCACTGACACCCAGATTCAGGGGGTCTTGATCAGTCCCATGCTGGATATCCAGGCTGATGCCTGGGATTCAAGAGTTAACCTTTGTCTGGTCAGCTGTTTCTGGGGGTTCAACCAGCCCAGTCTTAATCCCTTTGATCATCAGTCCTCCCTCTCTGATACTGGCTTTCTTGAGTTCAGCTCAGTTTTGCTTTTCTTAACCCCTTTTCCCTTAAAACAAGTGTTTCTTAAGCATGAACCTTACACACACCTGGCTGTCTAGCAAAATAGACAGACATAGACTTGCAGGGAACAGTAGCAGTCACTAATATTCCTGAAGAATATAACTTGCATGTGTAATGGCTGTAAACTAGCATCTTACTGAGTATAAGAGTACCAAGACTTGATCTTGAAGCTATGTTACACATGACCCCGTTGACAAAATCTGATTTCCATTCCCCAATGTGGATATGGCATAAAGGTAGCAAGGTCTTCCTTCACTTCTCCTCTCTTCAGAACTCTGTCCTGTCCTCACTGGGGTTTTTCATAGTCCCCCACCACCTGATAGGTTATTTTCCTGCCCACTCTGAGATGGAAATGTCCCTGGGGCAATTTGTTGTTGTTTTTATGTTTGTTTGTTCTTTTGTTTTTGTCTGCCACACTGTCAGCTTCATATCTGGTACCTAGAACCATGTTTGACACACAATAGGCACTCAAACACGTCCTTAAGGAGTAAGAGAATCTAAGTTTGTTTCTAGTTTACTTTGCAAAAACTATCAATACTCTTTTGATTTTATATGCACAGTAGGAAGATAACTTTAATGTCTATGAAGAGCTCTGTCTGATTCATCGGTAATCTCACTTAATGCCTTCTGCCCTTTCCTTTTGATTAACAAAATAACACTTCTTAACAAAGTACAGTAAATCCTAGAAAGCTGACAGTTGAGTACATCTGCTACACAAAAACTTTATAGTCCAGCTTGGGGCTGTTGAGGACAAACGGACTTGTCAAACTTATTAAGGACAAAACCAGAAGATAAAGCAGAATATGTTTACTTTTTCCTTTCTTATTTTCTATTATTACAAATTTGTAGCTTCATTATAAAAACTACTTTAAAATAAATGGCTATTGTGTAGTTATTCCTCTGAACGGAAACATGTCTGTTGTATGATATCTTATATGTGTCCTAACCAATAAAGCTTGCCTGGAGATCAGAGGGCAGAGCTAGTCACTAGTTAACCATAGAGCCAGGCAGTAGTGGCACACATCTTTGATCCCAGCACTTGGGAGGCTCATACCTTTAATCCCAGTACCAGGGAGGTGGGGACAGGAATATAAATCTGTTAGAGACAGGATCTCCCACTCAGTTTGAGGATTCATAGAGGTAAGAACTCACTAGTGGCTGCTGTGCTGCTTCTCTGATCTTTCAGTTTTCAACCTCGATATCTGAGTCCAGGTTTCTATTATTCAGATGAATTAGAAGCTCCCTTCATATGTCTTTCTGGAAGAAAAGCTTATTAAGACTCAGAAGGCAAACAAAACTCACAAATCTCAGGAAGCTCCTAAAATTTAGAAGATTCACAAGGCAACGGGAAATGTTATAGAAGCTGTAGCAACTGCTGGGGTGAGGAGCCTGCATTTTTCCAGGCAGCTGTTTTGAGTGGTCACTCATGTTGGGTGGGCTGTTTCAGGATGTAGTTGCCTTTGGTTCCATAAGGACTTCCCCACTCACAGTTCTGTAAGCCCTAAAACTCACTGCTTTACAGGGTTATCCATAAGTGGTGTCATCTTTAGCTTGGTGGTGGAGTCCTGTCTAGAGTGAACAGATGTTCGCGCTCTCACATCTCCTCAGGGAAAGCCACACAACAATGGCTGTGCTGGGTTATTTTATTTGTTTGTTTTTCTGTCAGCTTTCCACAAGCTAGATGGGAAGAAGAAACCTCAATTGAGAAAATGCCTTCATCAGACTGGTCAGTAGGCAAGCCTGTGGGGAATTGTTTTTGATTAATGATTGATGTGGGAAAACCCAGCCCACTGAGACTTGTGCTGCTCTGGGAAAGTGGTCCTGGGTTATATAAGGAAGCAGACTGAGCAAGTCATGGAGTGAAAGCCAGTAAGCACTTGTAGTCTTTGCTTCAGTTCCAATCTTGAGTTCCTGCCCTGACTTCTTTTTATGATGACTGTAAGCTGTACGATGAGATAAACTTTCCTCAAGTTATTCTTGGTCATGCTGTTCATCACAGTAACAGAAAACGAGTGGCACAATGGCTATACACTATACAGAGAATGGTGTCAGAACCTCGAGGAAGCCAGAAGAAAAAGCTTGCATTCCAAAAAAGAAGGATGCTATATTAGTGCTGCTACAGACAGTCTGTATTGCCTCACTTTGGACACCTGTAAAACAGGGGCAGTATCTCTCTTTGAATGTTGTAAAGATTAACTAAAAAATGGTATGTAATTGCTATGGAAACTGTAGAGTCCTACTAAACATAGTTAGGAAACCTCTGGTCCAGTCTGATACCTCAAAGAGTACACAAATCTGAGGAGTGTGTAAATCTCAGTACATGAGAAGGTGTAAAAATGGGATCCTTCCCATTACTCAGACAAATCAGGTCTTCCAAGTGCCGAGGGGATGTCCTTCTGCTGTCTCCCCAGAGCTGCACTCTGCTGTCAGAAAAGGCTCTGTAACAGGCTGTGTTCACAATGCATTTTTAGGCTAGTGCTGGGGATGGAAGGTTTTGGAGAAAACATGATATAAGAAGTCTAATCAAGCTGGGCCATCTTTACAAACAGAGGAAGACAGTCAATCCCTAAGCTGCAAGAAGGGCTATCTTTTGTGCTGGGGGAGCGGACAGCATCTGAGATGCAGCTGTAGGCTGAGGAAGGGATGTTGAGTGGAATGGAGAGTCTGGAGTCAGAGGCACTAAGGTCACATTCTGCTGTTATTTATTAGCTATGTGACCCTGCCCCTTTCAGCTGTAAAATGGGAGAAATGATGGTGATTCCCAGGATGCACTGCAGCAAACTGCACAAAGGAGGTTGATGGAAAAGATCAGTTCCCCTGGACATTAGCCTTATACCTATGGAGAACTGCCTTGTGCGTTTAGGGCCAGAGTGTAAACCCCAACAGATGAATGAATGTCGTCATGGCACGCACCTATAATCCCGGCAACCAGAAAGGGGAGGCAGGAGAATGAGGAGTTCAAGGCTAGTCTTGGCTACATGGTCAGTTTGAGGACAGCCTGGGCTACATAAGACCCTGTCTCAAACAACAAAGACAAACAAGATGAAAGAGCTGGGGAAAATTTGATTTGGGATAAGACTGGACATAAAAGGAAAGAGTCTTGGTTAGCTATCAAGTTCCACTCCTTTAACAGTCTCTCGTTGATGTGTCGAACATCTCACGACTGCATGCACTCTGCCTAGGACTGTACAGTGCACAGCTCCTGCTGCTGAGAGATGGCTTCCACAGGGCAAAGCAGTGAGCATCACTGAGGCAAGACAGAACAGGGAACTTAGAGCAACCGGAACAAGAAAGGGAAAGAGCCATCACTCTCTGGATCCTGTTTGAGCCTCTCATGGGCTGCAAGTCAAGAATTTAACACGGCTAGCACAAACCCAACAAAAACACATGAAGACTACCTACATAGAGGCAACAGTCCCTTTTCGGAGGGATTTCTCGAACAAGAATTTTTTTTTTTTTGGTTTTTACGAGACAGGGTTTCTCTGTATTGTTTTGGAGGCTATCGGTCCAGCCTGGCCTCGAACTCACAGAGATCCGCCTGCCTCTGCCTCCCGAGTGCTGGGATTAAAGGCGTGCGCTACCACCGCCCGGCCTCGAACAAGAATGTTAAGGTGGCCAATACACCATGACAAAGGCCTTTGCTCTGATGGTATTTGTAAAGTGTTAAGTTCTTATAGGTGTTGTTTTAAAAAGAAAATCATGAACCATATTTACAGGCAAAAGAGGTGCCAGGGCTCCTCTGTGACCCACACATGGTAAGAGTTCTTTTGGCTTTTCTTGGAAGTTTTTATTTTCCCAGCACTAACTTCTCTGTAAACCTGTACAATGTACCCCATAAACTTACAGTTTATGAGTTTGATTCCCAGCACCCACACAGAAATCTGGGTGTGGTGACCAAAAATCTTAGAGTCTCCTTCCCCAAAGGAAAAACATTTCTAACTTAAGAATGAGCATAACAAAACATTTTACTAAATCTTTTGAAACATATACATCATTTGATCAATGCAACTCAAGACAACACACACACACACACACACACACACACACACACACACACACACACACACACACACTGCTGTGGTCCTTAAGTCTTTCATG